CAGAGAGGCAGGAACAGCATCCCCTGGGGCAGGTAAGTGGTGGTGATTGTGCCCCACCACTCCTGCAGCGAGCAGAGCCTCCCACTGAAGCCTCTGTCTTGGCAGGGCTGGCCTGGCAGCCTTCCCAGGCGATGAGTTCTGGATGAGGAAACACAAATGGTTGTCCCCGGCTCTGCAGGGTTAATCTCGGTGCAGATGCACGTGGTGCTTGCTGCCTGTGCCCTCAGCTCCAGCCGGGACGTGCACAGCAAAGGGCTGAGGAGGGAGCTGCAGACCGGGAAAGACGCGCGGCCGCCGCTCCGTGGGTACGCTGGGAAAGTCTCGGAGTGCCCGTGGAGGGAGGATCCGGCACACGCACGTGCGTGCCCACGGATCACACGAGCGAGATGCAGCAGATGAGCTGCCTTGCTCCATTTGTAACCTCCCACTGCTGTTGCACAGACTTTGCGAGGAGGAGAGGGAGCTGAAAATGGAGCTGAAAATTGAAACTTGAGGCTCAGATGCTTGGAGGGGCTCAGAAAACCAGTTCAACCCATCACTCCCCAGAGTTGCAGGAGCTTCTGTGCCTCCTGGGCCCTGCATCTTGCCCTCAAGCTCAGCACAGAGTGAGACTTTCATGCTCCAAACCTTGGAGCAAAAATCATTTTCATTAACTCATTGAGACAAGGAGACATAAAGACACAATTTGATTGCAAAGCACAGGATTACAGTGTGATATGAAGCGAGGAAAGAGAGAGGGAGGAGAAGGAAAAACAACTTGGTCTTTGTTTTTTTTTAATTTGCATCCCTTCAGCTGGCTGAAGGAGAGCTGGGTGAGGACACGGCAGTGCCGTGGTGTGCCCTGGTGGGTAGGATCCAGCCTCCCTTCCTGGCACTGCAGCAGGGATGCTGCATTCAGGACCTTGCTACCTGAAAGCTGGTTTGGATAGTCCCAGGTGGCTCCAGCCTGGCCTCCAACAGGCAGAGAAAGAGGCACTGGTGTGCAGGGAACCACTGGCACTTGCTCTGTGCCCGTGCCCAGGCTGTGGATTTCCTGCCAGCATTCAGCACTTGCTGCTCTGGGTGTTGTCTTTGGGATGTTCCTAACAAAGTCCGTGCTCATGGGGAGTCAGGAGGGGAACAAACCAGGCTCCTCTCCAGCCTGGGACAGCCCACCCCGCTCCTGATCCCAGCTCTCCTTGCAAAGGGTAAGGTGACAATGTGAGGGATGAGGCTCCAGCACCCCTTCAGTCCCTCTGGCTCCTTGCTGAAACTGCTAATTAAAAAGTGCATTTCTTCACGTGATTTTTCTGACGTGAAAACTTTTCCATAAGGAACTGGTCCCGAATCCACCAACTCATTTCACATTCATTTTAAATCTAAGCTTCATATTATGTACTTTCCTCCAGGGCTTGATTATCTTCTCACTAAAAGTTCTGTTGTTCTGGTTTGTGAGACCTATATTTAGCCTTGCCCTAAGGTCTCTGCACCTCTCAGTACATGGCTCAGATGCTGCCACATGAGCTCCTGGGCTTTCCTATTTATTTGAGTCCATTAAGCAAGTTACCACTTCTGTAATATCAAGGGCATTTCCCAGCCATGGGCTGCCTGCAAGCAGTAACTTGTTGCTGCAGCAATGGTCTCCTGGATCTCAGAAGTCATTATTTGGAGAAGGTCTCTTACCTAAACAGTGGCAGATCATATTTAAATAGGGAATCAAGGGCAAAGCCAGACAAGGAGCCTTGTCCCTCTCTATTGTGGTGGAACCTCAAGTCCTCCTTCCCTGTGTTTCCTACACATGTAATAAGTTGCACACCCACTCAGCATATTTTTACATCAAGATACACAAACCAGGCAAAAATGGGAGGGGACTTCATCTACGGAGGGAATTCGGAGGTGCACAGAATACCTGCAATAGTTCTTCAATACACAGGGGGGTGTAAAGAGGTTGTGTGGAGAGAAGGGAAGAGAGAGAAACATCAGAGCAGCTGGCAGAGAAACCCAGTCCTGGTGAGAGTCTCTGGGATGGAGGAGTCTCTCACTGGAGGCTGCAGTGCCCAGGAGCTGAAGATGCATTGCCCCTGGCGGTGCCGTTTGACGCACCCAGGTGTCACCTTCCTGGTGACACATCGCAGTGCCAGGCCAACACTGTCCTTCTGTGGGGCAAGAAGTGCTGCCCCGCTGATCACCAGCTCTCTGCCGGTGCCCTCCTCTGCCAGTGCCACCAGAGGAATCCCCTGGCCCCAGGCAGGGTGGGCAGGGGTGCCCTGCAGAGCCAGGCTCCCCCTGTCTCCTCTACCCCCAGGGGTGTGAAGCCCTCCCAGAGCTGGAGCTGCTGACGAACGTGTTGGATGCAGCCGCCTGTATCCAAGGAATGGGGCGTGCGAGTGGCACGGCGAGCCGGGGACCCACAGGCACCCACACAGAATGATCAGCGGGCAAAAACCTGGGTGCCAAGGCTTGGACTGGAACGTCTGACTGGAAGGCTGGGAGGAAAAAGGGAAGGCTGAATTGTTTGTGGTTTGTTTTCATTCATCATTCCTGCTCGTGTGGGTGGACAAGGAGTGAATGAGTTTCTCGGGGAGGGCAGCAAATAAAAGAGGCACACATTTCCTTGAGGGATGAGTGGCTTTTTTTTCCTTCCTGGAGGCTGGGTGAATATGTCACAAAGGGACTGGAGGGAACCCTAATAGCTTATCTGCCAGGCCAGTGGAACCACCTGCTCTCGATTTTTCTTCGCTTTGATCACAATGTGCCAAGAGATAAAAGAATTTTTGGGATGAGTTTCATCCATCTTGTAAAGTACTGGTTTTGTCTCCCAACAGGAAATGTGCCCAACTTTGCTTTGGAGTGCTGAGCACCTCCCAGAATGACAGTGGGTCAATGCTCCCCCTGCTTGGGGAAGGAGGGGTAGCTGGGTCAGGGTCTCCATGCCATGATGGTTTCTTTCTGGACAGGCAGCCCTACAGCTGCATTCCCTCAGTTCTACCTTCCCCTGCTGGCAGGGGTCTGGGAAGTGCCGTTAACAGGCAGGAGATATGGGAACACAGTGGGACAGGAGGAAGCTGACAGACATGCCATGGCAGTGTTGCTGATGGAGGGCTTCTGAGATGGGTCTTGGTTTCCTTTGGTGCAGCCATGCTGCTCATTGGAGCCTCAGATAGGCAGGCCAGTGGAATAGATGATTTTGGAGGTCACTCTCCATCCCAGTCCTTATCTACCTGGAAGGACTGCCAAGATATGGCTTATTTGACCATGATCCTCTCAACAGCCTGGTGTAGTGCAAGGTGTCCCTGCCCATGGCAGTGGGGAGTGGAATTAGATGATATTTCAGGTATCTTCCAACCCAAACCATTCCATGATTCTGTGGTTAATCAACGTCCAGGTTGGAGTCTCAAACTGAGTGCTGGGCTTTAATATTTCCATATAATTTCTGTGTTCATCATTTATCATCTGCTCTTCTCATTTCACCCGAGGCTGTGGGGGTGTCCCCCTTGGTGCCAGGAGTCTGGTGTGTCCTGGAGAAGGGCTGGCTCCCACCCTGCATGGAAGGTACTGATGTTCTCCACGGGCTACACACCCCCTGCTGCTGGACAGCCCCGAGATGAACAAGCTGAATCCTTGCAGAGGATTTTTCCCCCATTGAGGTGGAGGAAAAAAAATGGCTGCAGTGGATTTGTTGGTGTTTGGGCTTTTGTAAAACACCTGACTGTCACAAGGAAGAAAAGTCCCAGGGGGAAGGAAAACTGTGTTGCCTTGGCTGGGGTGTGAGGGGGGTTGTCTGCTGAGCCTGCCACCTTCCCAACAACAGGGCTTCAGGATCCCTGTAGGGAACCAGGACAGATCTGGTGGTGGAGAGGGCTGGAGGAGGTGGAGGGACACATTTGGAATGCACACATGGTTCTGAGGCTTGCCCCAGCACAGCCCCATGCTGGATAACACCAGGGGATGGAATGAGGCTCTGTCAGAGAGAGGGGTAGGTTAGATATTAGGGAAAGGTTCCTCCACCAGAGGGTGGCTGGGCTCTAGAACAGGTGCCCCAGGGTAGTGGGCAGCAGCCCCAAACCTGTCAGAGCTTTTGGACAACACTTTCAGGCACAGTGTGGGATCACTGGGATGTCCTGCCAGGAGGGCCAGGAGTTGGACTCAGTGATCCTTGTGGGTCCCTTCCAGCTCTGGATATTCTGTGATTCTGTGCTGTGTTCCTCATTATACCAAAAGCCCCACACAGGACCTGCAGGAGCACAACTTCAACCAACACAGAGGAGGCTGAGGGTCTGCAACATGTGGAGGATGCTGAAGAAGTGCAGCTCTCCTGCCTGTGCTGTTGGGGGTCAACATCTCTCCTTGCAGAAGAGCTGCAGTGTTCCCTGAGGTGGGGAGGGGCACTGGGACACTGCCCTGTGTGGCATCAATCACCAGGAAGGGCTCTGTGCCAGGAGCTCCCTTGGCAGAGGGAAACAGAGCCCTGAGAGGTGCTTTGTTTTGCAGGCATCTCTGGGAAATTGCAGGAGGAAAATTAAAGGAGGTAAATGAAAAACCAGCCCCCACAGCATTTACCTGAGGGGTGTAAACCTCTGGTGGTGCTGCTGAATGCTTGGGGTCCTCCAGGCAGGGTGGAATCTGGGCTGAGTTCAGATGCTCCATCTCCCTTTTCAGGATGGAAAATATGGATTTTCACAGCAGGGAGGTAGGGGAGAGGTGGGCTTTGGATAAATTAAAGCAGACCACAGACCTCCTGAGTTATCTTATTAGTCTGTGAATGAGGGTCAAGTCTTTGCAAGGCAACTGAAGTGAGGTATTTTTAAAGTATATTATTTAGGCTCCTTTCTCTCAAATCCAGTGTTCAGGTTGGTCTGGTGACTGCACCCAGAGCTTTGCCTTTTTCATTTCATATGTCAAAATGCCCAAGGACCTACAGAAAAGGATGATTTTACATTTATATGGGAAAAGCAGCATAGAAGAGGGGAAGGGATTTAGTCTTAAACCATTCCCCAAATGATAAGAGAAATGCAAGTATCTCTGGTGATGAAGATCAGTTTACTTCACAAGAGTTAGGCTGAACAAGTAGGAAAAATACTGCTAAAAGGAGATATGGCCAGTGCCCTTTTTTTGAATATAAGTGTTCTGGACTCCAAAATGCTTCACTTTTCAAAGTTACCTCAGAGGCCTCAGGGGTATCTTGCACTGAATTTCTCTCAGTGGTGGAGCCACTGTGTCCCATTGGGAATTCAACCTGAAAAAGAAGATAAGGATTAGCAGCTCAACAGCCTGGACATGAAACTGTCCTTTCTGGTGAGGGGCAGGGCAGAGCAGTGAGCTCCAGATGAAGCTGTGCTATCAGGTATCTCCTACCTTCTCAGGCTGAACCTCTTTTGCTGTTTGAGCAAAACGCTGGGGAAAGGGGAATTTCCACAGAGATTTGTGTAAAAACCAGAGAGAAGTCGGGTGGTTTCCCTGCTCCCCTAAGCAGCTTCCTGAATCCAAAATACTGTTCTTCCCTCTGCCGTGGGAAACACTTCTGGTCCCTTCTGCCTCCACCTGCATTCCTCTGCAGTTTTGCACGGTCACCAATCAGGGGAAAAGAGAAAGCTTTCAGAAACATCTGAAAACACAAAGCCAAGGAGAATCACACTTAGCAAGAGAAAATGTGCTCAAGAAGTAAACGCTCCCTGAGCCCCGCCGCGATCCCACTGCGGGGCTCCCGCTGCACCACGGCCCTGCAAACGGCAGCGCTGCTCGGAGAGCCGCCGGCATTCCCGGGGAGGGGGAAGAGCAGTGGTCCCGGCTGGCAGCGCGGGACCCACGGCTGCAGAGCCCCGGGGGTGTGTGCTGGGGCTGTGCCCTCGCTATCCCACCGCTGGCTCCCGCCCCGAGCCAGGGAAACACGAAGAGAGGCTGTGCCCCGCGCCTGTGCTGGGCTGGGCACAGAGGCTCGGCTCCCTTCCCGTTTTTCTTGATGATTCTGGCTGTGCTATGTTAAATGGAGAGCAAATCCCGATCCTGACATCTGTGCTCCTCTGCTCTCACTGATGGACTCAAAGACCCAGCTCATGCCACCTCTTGGGGCGTGCTGAGGGGTTCCCCTGGGGCTGGAAAGGCCTTTGGGGCAGGGCTGTGTCTCCATTGCAGTCTGTGCCCAAAGCCACCGCCTCGGAGCAGGCTGAGCCCAGCCCTCCCACCAGGTCACCTCCGTGGGATGGGACTATGGCCGCTCCCCTTCAATGCAGAATCTAGTGCAACAACAACCATGAAATCCTCTGCTGCTAATTGAGCATCTCGGATCCCTTCCGTGCTGCCTGGGCAGTGAGACTTCGGGAGTGCAGATGCTTCAGGATCAGCTTTGAAAATAAACCCAAACAAGCACCTTTTGGAGCTTAAAGCGACTCCTCCTGGAAGCCACTGCAGGGAAAAGCACTTGTTTATTAACAAGAGGCAGCAGGAGCAGGGCATGAAAGGCGGCTTTGTCTCCCGGCCAGTGCCGTGCACCGTTTGTCTTTATGTTAATGCCTTTCCTTCAGGTGTGCAGGGAATCTCAAGCACAAATCTCCCAGCTCCATAAAACCATCGGGCAAAGAGGAATCCCCGGCTCCTCGTCCCTGTGCATCGCGGAACCCCCGTGTCACCTGCAGCCGCCCCCAAATGAGCGCATCTTTAGTGGCCTCTGCAGGGGAAAGGGGGGGGGGGGAAATGTGTGTGTTCTGCGAACGCCTGGAGGCCCCTGGAGGGGCTGTCTCCATGGCTAGCGGGAGGCAACGCGGTCTGCCTCCATCTCCGGGGACCCCCAGGGATGCGGGGATCCCCCGCCGCAGCGGGCATCCCCGGGGACGGGGAGTCCCCGGGCAGGGAATCACCTTTCCGGTGGGTGCGGGGGGTCAGCATCCCCGGGGCAGGGTCTGCTGGGGGAGCATCCCGCCTCCTCCCCGCGCCGCGCCGCGCCTCGCCGTGCCAGTGCCGGTGCCGCGCCGCGCCGTGCCGGTGGCGTGCCCCGCCGTGCAGCTCCGTGCCGGTGCCGTGCCGTGCCGTGCCGTGCCGTGCCGTGCCGTGCCGCCCCGCGTCGCGCCGCTCCGCTCCGCCCCGCCGCGCCCGCCGCGCCGCAGCCCCGCAGCCCGGCCCCGCAGCCCGGCCGCCGCCGCAGGGCCGGCGGGCAGCGAGCGGCAGCCGGCGGCATGAGGCGCGACCCGGCGCCCGGCTTCTCCATGCTGCTCTTCGGCGTCTCCCTCGCCTGCTACTCGCCCAACCTCAAGTCGGTGCAGGACCAGGCGTACACGGCGGCGGTGGTGCTGGAGGGCAAGGTGCAGTCCGTGGGCCCCCCCGCCGGCGGCAATGACAGCCGCGGCGCCGGGCCCGCCGGGGGAGTCCTGGTCAAGGTGCTCCACGTGTGGCCCCTCAACAGCGGGGGGCTGCAGCGGGAGCAGCTCATCAGCGTGGGCTCCAAGGCGCCCTGCTTCAAAGTGAAGCGCAACCACCGCTACATCTTCTTCCTCGAGCCCACCGAGGAGCCGCTCGTCTACCACACCGCCTTCGCGCCGCTCGACACCAGCGGCAAGAACCTCAAGCAGGACGTGTCGCGGATCCTCTGCACTGACTGCGGTACGGGCCGCGCCGCGGTGGCGGGGGGCGGCGGGGGCGATGGCGGAGCGGTGGCGGGGGCGGTGGCGGAGCGGCGGCCGGGAGCGCTGGCCCCGCGTCCCGGGCGGCCGCGGGGCGACAGGTCCGTACCCGCCCGGAGCTGGAGGGGGAAGCTGGGCCGGCGATCGACCGCCCCCCCCACCTCTCTCCCGGTGGGCCCCGGGAGCCGCGCCTGCACCGGGGGGAGATGCGATACGATGCGATGCGATACGATGCGATGAGATACGATACGATGAGATGCGATGCGATGTGATGTGATGTGATGTGATGTGATGTGATGTGATGTGATGTGATGTGATGCGATGCGCTCCGCCGGGCCCGGCCGCCGCAGCCGCGCTGCCCCCCATCCCCCTGCCCCGGCTCTCCCCGCTCGCTCGGCTCAAGGTCCCGCAGCCCCGGCCCGGCCCCGCGCCAGCAGCGCAGCCCCGAGCCCGGTGCGGGGAGCGCCCGCAGCCCGCGGCCGCCCGGCGGTGCCGCGCGGGAGCCCCCGGTGTCTCGGCTCGGTCCCAGCGTCCCGGTACCGCTCTCCTCTCCTCCTCGGGGGCCTCGGCCGTGGCAGCCCCGGCCGGGAGAACCACCGGCCTGCGGGGCTCCACTGACTCTGGGTGCGACCCCCGCCCCTGCTGCGGAGAGGGCCGGGCCCGGGATGCGAGGCTAGGGCAGGGGTAGCGCTCCAGGTGTGCCTTAAGAGCCGGGAAGTTTTGCCTCTTCCCAAATAACGGCCTCGAAGGGGGAAGTTGGGTTTTCTTTTGTTCGTTCCGCGCATTTCGGTGTCTCCGGTGGCGGCTCTCGCACGGTGGCTTGTGCTGTTCCTCCAGCACCTCTGGAAATGCGGTTATGAAATGACTTCAACGGGAAGCGCCTGCCGGAGCGTCCCTGCTTTTGTGCCTGGATTTTCCTTGCTGTCCTCTGGCAGGTGAACACCTGTGATGGGCTGGGCGGCGGGGACCGGGCGAGCACAATGCCTGCATTTTCTCAGGGTTCGGATCTGAACTGACAAAAATGCATGCCTGGCCCTCCATCCAGCCTGAATGCTGGATACTGTGTCACAAAATCCGGGGAAGGCCGGTGTTAACCCGGAGAGCTCCGAGTGCCGTACCATGCCCTCAGCAGTGGGTTGAATCCCTCACATTTGGTGTGTTACGAGGATATACAAGGTGCATCTCCGGGGAATCCAGGCTCCCCACTCAATGGCAGCAGGACACATCCTCATCAGGCTAATTGGCCTTTTGCCTCATTAAAAGCACCTACTTTGTCAAGTTATACTCAGCTCTGTAATGACCATATGTGTACTGCTTTGTGGCGGTTGTTTTTGTGTCACTAACTGGATGTTTCTGGGGCAAGCACTCTGCCATTCAGGGCTGATGACCCTGGATTGTCAAAGCCAGACCTGTCTCTTTTTTTAGTTACCCAAGAGATAAATTTAGAAGCTTTTGTTTCCTGGGAGAAAGGTGGAACCATAATATGTTGTTGAGGAAAATGGGCTAGGACTGCATGCGAGAAAACTAATTTGGGAGGCACTAATTTCATGTGCAACTGTATGTGGGCCATTGTGGAAGGAGAGGATTTAGTGAAAGAGCTGTGGCGGAGTTAAGAGGAAGGTAAATGGGGGAATTTATCAGGGCTGTGGTCTCATCGTCAGGGGAAAACACATCAAAAGGTATGTGGCTCTTTTTTTCTCTTTTTTAAATCCAAAAGGATTCCAAACTCGCGTATCTCTGAGCAGCAGGATTTGACTTTAAGGGGAACGGAGGCTTCTCCGTGGCATCCTGGCTCAGGCCCAAAGCGTTAATGTGTGGGCTGATGTAACAACAAGTTAAGGGTTGTCATTCTGCCGTGACACCTTCTTGGAGCTGATGCTTTTGTTTCTGTGTGGCTCTGATGGGCTGACTCGGCTCCCTGGCTGAGGGATGCTGCAGGTTGGTGGGAGCGTTGCCTCAGCAGAGCTTGACGGCAGATTCCAAAGGAAAAATAAAAGCTGGTGGTTGGGAGCTGTCATAGCTGTGGTTTGGTTCCGTGATGGAGAGGAAACAGGAGCCTCATCTTGCTGAATTGGTGGTTCCCCGAGCACTTCATGCTCTGGGTTCAGCTGGGAGGTTACATCTGAAGGTGACATTCCTGGCGGGATCTTCTGATTTGTAGCACTTAAACTGCTGGAAAGGTGTGTGAAGTGGGAAACAAGGCCGTGGTCTACCTTCCTGCTCTGTAGTTTGTGCTGGGAGGGCAGATCTGGAGGGGTGCAGCAGTATTTCCCGCTGCAGATGGGGGCTGTGACAACTCCAGAGCTGGCAGGGGGTGGATGTCCAGGCACAGCATGTGTTCCGAGGGACAGCTGGGCTGCAGCTGAGTGAGGGATGTTACAGAGCTGGGGGACAGATGTTGGAGTCACTTCTGAGCGGGAGGGGGGGACCCTGTGGCTCTGATCACTCCAATCCTCCCGCTCCCAAAGATGGAGGCCTCGCAGGACCATCTTCTCCCTGCTCTGGCTCTGTGCCTGGGTCTGTTTTCCAGTGATTCATCCCCTTCTCACTGGCTAAGATGCTGTGTGTCTCCTGCTCTTGCTGCTTGCCGAGGTCCGGGATGCGATGTAGGATTAGACCTGTCACTGGAGAATCCGTGTCTCTCTCCGAGGAACAGTCTCTGATGCTTCCACAGCTCACTTGGTGGACACAAAGAGGGTGCTGAGGCTCTGCAAGGGACCCAGACCCTCTCTGGGCAGAGCCAGGTGGGCTGGAGGTGAGGGGAGGGTGGCATGGGGTGTGGGAGGCAGAACAGGAGTGCTGGTCTGTTCATCTGGTGTGCGTGGGGATCTGGCCTGGGCTGTTTTGTGTGTGCCCCCTGAGCAGAGATCCAGGGAGGGGGATTCTTGCTTTGGCCATCCCACTGCTGAGCAGGCTCCAAAAACTGGAACTTCCCCACCTGCAAACCTCTGTGCAACCTCTGCAGCTCTACCCAGCCATGGGTTTGCATCCCCCTGGCACACAGGGAGCAGCTTTTCCCTGGGCCCACCATCCTGCGAGTCTCACCACCTACTTGCCCATCCTAAAACCTCTTCTGCACTGGGAGTATTATTGGTTTTTTTTTCATACTGTTATATAACGATTCCTGTTATTGCTTCTCCTCCTGTCTCTTTTCTTTATATCTTTTAGCTCCTTAATTTTGGATGGTCTCATATCTGCTTTGTGCCTACATGCACAGATCAAGGAGGAGGAAATAGGTGCAAGACACAGTGCTGGCTCTCACTGGTGTGGGAGCTGGAGGCATTATCCCCGCTGGGACCACTCCTGATCTGAATCCAGAAAAGGGATTGAGGCCCTGGCCCTCCTGGTCTTTAAGGGTCGCTTGTGTCAGCACCTGCCTCCTAATCTGGATGAGTTCACGCTTTCTGTGCAAAAGGTGTATGTGCAGATATTTTGTACATGAGAGAGAGGATTTAACCTGTCTGGGCTCTGAGTTCTGCTTTCACAGAGGAACAAACGTTTTCCTGCCTCCATATGCAGGGAGTTGCAAAGTAGCTTTAATTAGAGCTTGTGCGTCTCCTGAAGCACCTCACCGAAAACGCTGCTGAGCTCCAGGACAAGGTCTGTGACTCGCCTGTAGGATTAGCTAGCTTAGCCTGGGCAGGTAATCTGGTGGTGGCAGATCCCTGGGAGGATTTGCAGGCAGAGGACCTGTTGTTGCAGCAGGTACTTCTGGTGAGATGAGTTATTTATTTTTTTTTTCCAGTCCGAAGGTGCCTTGGTCCCAGTGGGAATCAGGAAAGTGCTGGGGCTGTGGCACTGGCCTCAGTGGCCCCATGATGCTGGGAGCTGTTTATCTGCTGATCCTGGAGCCAGGTTGGTTAGAGCTGGCCTGCAAAGGGAGGGAGCCCGGATTTTGAAGTGCCCGCTGGAAAATACAGCCCTCTGGATTACAGTGTAGGTGTTGCTGCCTGAAATAGCATTGGCAACTTTGGGCCATCAGCTCATGCAAAAATATCCCTCTCTACTATCCTGCAGATCATCGGGCTCACTCCAAGCCAGGCAGGCAGAGGGGGGGGGTGTGGGTGGGCTCCAGCCGCTGGTGACAGTGCTTCCTCTCCATCCCAGGACAGCTGTGGAGCAGGGAGCAGCAAAGCTGGATCTTCTCACGTGCCACCTTGCTAATTAGAGCTGTCTGAAACTATTTCTCACCACCTTCAGAAAATCACACTTCCCTGGGTTCGCAGAAGAGTGAAAACTTGCTTCCTTCTTGCCTTGGGTTTCTGCAGATGGGGAGCGGTCACTGCGCTGCAGAGAGCTTTGACCCCTCGCAAGGACAGCACATTTCTGG